CACAAAATACAGACACTACCCTGAGTGTTTTTTTTTTGTTGTTGAAAGAAATGAATACTTTTATTCATCAAGGATGCATTAAATTTAACCGACAGTGAGGACTTTTACACTGTTACAAATTTCTATTTCAGATAAATGTTTTTTAAACTTTTTATTAATCAACAAATCCTGAAATAAATGTATTACGGTTTCCACAAAAATATTAAGTAACACAACTGTTTTCAAAATTCATAAATAAGAAATGTTTCTTCAGGAGCAAATTAGCATATTATAATGATTTTTTTAAAGGATCATGTGACACTGAATACTGGAGTAATGATGCTGAAAGTTCAGCTTTTCATCAGGAATAAATTACATTGTAAAATTATTTAAGAAAAAAGTAATTTCGAATTATAATTCTTTTTTTATCAAATAAATGCAGGCTTGATGAGCATAAGAGCATTCTTTCAAAAACATTAAAAAGTCTTGCCCACCCCAAACTTTTGAATGGTAGTGTAAATCATTTCAGATGTTACAATCCTGCTTAATCAGAATCACATTTAGAATCAGAGTCAGTTTTTGGACTTTTCACATAAAGATGTGATAACTAAAATGCACAATTTCTACAGATAACATTGGAGAGAGACATTAAAAGAGATAAGAGATTAAAAGATTGCATGGTTTAAATGCAGTTAGACCGTTATTTAATTTAGAGAAATAAATGCTTTTCTTGCTTGTCATTCGTTTGACTGATTTTTTTCCTGTGCTGTTTACAGACTTCCAGAGCACCAAAGCACAACATCTGATATGGACCAGGAAATGACATCATACTGAGGCACAATCTCAGCCATCATGGTTCCACATAAATCACTCTTTCTGCTTTTAGGCAGTTATGACACAGTGTAGTAAACTGATGGTTTTTTTTCCACTTTGTTTCTTTAGCCTCTAAAGTTTTTTTTTTTTTCAAATTATTTTTGTATAAATGATTTTTTAAAGATTTTAAACAGTTTGCATCCCACAGCCTTGTCCACAGTGTAATTTATTAAATATCTCAACCCAGCCAATTAAAAGTATAAACTGTAAGGAATTACATAATTCATTTATGTAACCTATCTTTGTGATATATTTTTTTTAATATAAGTACAACGTATATTTTTGTGCTCACATTTTTGGAAGGATAGAACAAATCATAAATGATTTTCTTCTCTCAAAACTCATCTTTTTACCATAATTGATCCAGTACTGTGGGAAAAGCACTGTGTTGGAAAGCAGTGTAAATTTACCTCATACAATAAAGTGATTTATCCTGCCTCACTTTGAAGTTAACAGTCTTCCTTTATCACATTTTATAAACACAATGGAGACCTTGTTATTTGAGGAATATGTCAGGTTAAATAGAACTAAACGTCAATTTGTGTTAGTCTTTGAACTTCCAGAAAAAAAATATTAATCAATTTAAAACGCATCTTCCAAAAGTACAACTTCATGATCTATATTAATTGATATTGAACCCAGATTGTTCTTTTAGCAGGCAGGCTGAGTACATGGGTGTAATAATTATATCAACCACAAAGGGGCACTAATGTGCCGCATTTGCTCCTTAAAATTTAATTTGCTTGAAAACAGCCTGTTAGGGTATAATAGGACAAAACAGTAACTTTTTAACAGATCAATGAAAACTAGTTGAAAACTTTGACAGCTCAAAATCCTATTGCATTGATCCTTGGTCTGTCTGTGTGTCCCTGCGCGCACGCGCATGTGTATGTGTGTAGTCTTTGATCTCTTTGAGCAGTAAGCTGATTAGGCCATCTCACAAGCAGCCCACACACATCTACACACTCACTGGGGAAAGGCTAATTGGCTATAAGTAGGGGTCAAGGTTACAGCCTTCATCTGAGCCTGTCCATGAGATATTATCTCACTTGCTTTTCTTCTTAATGACGTTCACTTCTTAAAAGTCTGAACACAACATTAGCTTACACTTACAGGCTCTTTTTAGACAGCATCCTAAAAATAAGGATAAGATTTTTTTTTTTTAAATTTGAATTATTTTAGCAATAGTTCTTCAGTTTTTAATGAAATATTCTAAATCTTTCTAGTCCTCCTCCACCATCTTGGATTTATTTCATCTCTATGCTTGGTGTAGTGCATTTTTTGGATTCTCTACTACACCACATTGGATACCTTACATTTAGGCAAAACTTGATATTTCGGAAAAGCCTCTGATGGCTTAAAATGCTGGTAGACTGTTCACTAGGCTTTGGAACAGAGCATCTGAAATCTCCCTCTCCCTACTACTGTCAGAACACTGTTTTTTTTCTTGTTTTTTTTCTGCAGAATAGGTGAATATAGTCTGTGTGACACATTGCCACAGTATTGATCTGTGCTGTTCTGAAAGCTCGATAAGACTCTTTTGTTGTGAACTCTGAGAATGGAGATCATTATTTATAGCTCCAGTGAGAGAGGATCAGTGATTTACTTCTGCCAGCAGGGGGAGTTTTACAAGGACTTTGGTGCAGTAAGTGCGCTGATTTAGTTAGTGTGTAATGTTGCTGTTTGAGCATAAAAAAGATCTGGCAAGGTTGCAAAGCTCAAAGTCCACTCCTAAGGGGAGATATTTTATTTAACAGAATCCACTTTCCAAGAACTACAACCGGATATTTTTCCGGATCTTATGGAGTCACAATGGTAGCTACTCATTTAAATAATACCGCCCACGGAAAACGCAAAAAGGGGACTGGTTGAGCTGGATTAGAGAAGACATTGTTGTCGCTACGTCAAAGAGACACTGTTTTTTTCCACAACATTTCCAAAACTCATTTGTTTGACCTTCCTAAGTCTGACGAGAGTAGCTAAAATTGATTTTAAACACTGTTCCTGAACATTATAACCCCAACGTTTATCTGTGCACTGCACATTTTATGGAGAACAGCTTGTTTTCTGTTGCTTATTAAGCTCTTGCTTTTGTAAGACGGTTCACTGCTCCTTAGGAGAATTAAACATGGTTTTGTAATCGATTACTGTTTGTATTACCTAGTTTTCCTACAAATATCACGATTAAATGGTGGATAACATCGTATCTATAATGTAAAAGGAAATTACAAAAAAACATACCACTCTGAAACGTCCTGTGAAATCCGTTCTGCATGATTCTCTTGTTCATTAACATTGTCAGGGTCTGAATCAGGCTAGAATTGGTTTGAAATTTTGCCATCCGTAATATTTACCAATCAAAACACACAGGACAAGCTAACCAATCACAGCACATTTCGTATTTCAGAAGGAGGGACTTCATCACTTAGAGCCAGTATGGGGTCGTGCAGAACAAAAGTGGGCTTTTCTAAATGTGTGGGTGTTTTCAAACTGGTGGGTGTTTATAAATCATGCAATGAAAATGATGCCCTTCACCTGACCCCACCTCTAAACCCTCCCCTCACTGTGACGTGGGTAAATCAGGTAACGCGGTCGAAAACACCCCTCTGTTTATGGCCTCGCCCACTGATCTAGTAACTTCTATTACTGTCCTGCAGAGATGTATACTTGCAGACTGGGGAGTGAGGTGCTGTAATAATGCATATTTGGATAAAGCATGAAAACATAGTACACCCCAAAAACAAAATCAAGGCTTCGTTAAAGTACCCCTTTAACATCCATGGAACTTTTCCATTGCACAAGATGGATTATTGGATTGACGATGGACACTAGATTATTAAAATAGTCTTCGCACGAAGAAAAAAATTGTCTTTATGGGGATTTTCTTTAACACAAAGCATCTTGTGATTTTAAATTGTCTTTAAGGGGTGCCTGATTGGATTGAATTGAATTGAATATTATGAAAATATAAAAGATTTGATAAAAGATTTTGCCTCTATATTATAAGTTATGCATTTTGTCACATTCTGTGGGCAGTAGTGTTTGAAATCTGTCTGAAGGTTCTTTTAAAACCGGACCCCTAACTACTGTGAGAGACATCATGACAGACACGATACACTAACTCTCCTGAATCAAGTACTAATGCATGCCCAAATCTCACCTCTTGGAAGGGCTGTCTCCATAGTGATAAGTGCTCTTAAGTGTGCACTGGGCCTTCATTCAGCTTTTCTAATTTAAGAGTCTCTCACTTTGTCTCCACTACATTTTTGTCTCTATGACAACATGACTCAAACCATATCTTTTTAATTTAGCTTTGCAACACTGGCAAGCATCTGAGTTTCAAAGGGCGGCGTTTGTTTACCAAGTTGGAAAAGAAAACCCATTGTGACTATCAACTGAAACGTACATTGGTATAAACATCTCAGTTGTTTTAACTGGCCTCTCGGGGATCATTCATAATTTATAGGTCCTTAATTACCGCCCTGAGATGAATGTGGTTAGAGTGAGTATGAGATTCTGTTGCCTGATTCTTAGCTAAGAAACGCTGTGTTACATGCTTCTAGACCCACAGGTTTACTTCTATGTCCAATTTAAGGTCACACATTTACTTAAAAGGTTGGAAGAAAAAACATTCATTCATTTACTCTCATGTCTTTCCAAACCTGTATGCATTTTTCTTCTTCTGTGGAATGTCTAAAACTGTGAAATATTATTACAATGTAAAATAACTGTTTTCAATTTCAATTCTAGTGTAAAATGTCATTTATTTCTGTGATGGCAAAGCTGAATTTTCAGCATCATTACTCTCAACCATGATCCTTCAGAAATCATTCTAATGCTGATTTGCTGCTCAAGAAACATTTCTTATTATCATCAATGTTGACAACAGTTTTTTTGGAAACCTTAAAAAAAAATTCTGGATTTTTTGGATGAATCGAAATTATATTTTCAAAATAGATATAGACTTTTTGTAATAATTTAGACGTTTTTACTGTCACTTTTGATACATTTAATCCATCCTTGCTGAATAAAATGACTAATTCCTTTTAAAAATCTACTGAAATATAAATATCGTTATACAGCTGTAGGGCGCGTTCACACTGTGGTTTACGGTAACTATTCAGCAGTGGGCGGGGTTAAGTGGCAGTGGGCGTGATGAAGTGTGGGCGGCTCTTCATCAGCACCGGCGTTCACACAGCGCTCCGAGAGGAAGCCTACAGCGGACGCAACACGCCGAACAGGTAAACCACTATATTTCATTATTTACATAAAGCCATAATATCGAGTTAAAACGGTCAGCATGATTTGCATGTCTATACCTGCATATTCTCTGAAGTTCTCTGACACGCTGCTGTTTAAATTCCTCTAATCCGTGCTTTTGAAGATGTTAGATCAATGCTTGAGAAAGGACGCATTGTTCCATTCACTGCAATGTTGCGGATACTGTGCTTCAGATTGATGGAATAACACTCTTTATTTCCATTAGATACATACAATGCTTAACTTTTGAGAATGTCTGCGAACTTTGATTTGATTCTCAAACGAGTGCTTAAATTCCTCATTTGTATCTGTTTAAAAACGCTTCTTTGTGCTGAAATCCAATGATTTTAATTTTATAGTCATAGTGATCTGATTTGTCTTTAAGGTTGTGTATTATTTATACAACTAATCTGATCTACATGTGAAAAGGAGGAGACCTGGTCCATGACATGATTTGGTTTTGTCGCAGAGGAGATTTTGCAGTCCAGCAGAGATGGTGCTGAAACCACAGCTACCCAGTATTAAGCACCTCTGAGTTATTCTGCACCTCTTATTTTTTATCAGTACGGATTTGTATATGTCCCTGGCCTGCTGAAATGTAGATATATGGTAGATGGTTATGGTTACATTTGATCAGTATCTTTAAACACCCTGATGAAAGGTTATGCTGAAAAGATCAGAATGAGTTCATGTCTCGCAAACCATCGCCTTGAGGCTATATAAAAGACTCCATCAGTGATGATGATGCTGTTTCTGATAAGACATGGTGCATTCCTGCATTGGCAGTCTGCCGGCTCACGCTTATTCATGAAAAGAGAGCTGTGAGGTTTAATGCAGCGCCCTGCACTGGATGACTGATATATCTGCGCAGTCTCTATATGTCCCTACATGTATGTGCCATTTATTTTTTAACGTCCATTGGCATGCAAGTGTTAGAACCAGGCAGAGTCCGCACCACGGCTCATGAGCTATGACCATCTGTTAGCAGACTGCCCTCTTCATCAAATACAACAGATGTTTAAAAGAAGACAAAAGTTGGACTCCTGCATTCACACATGCGTATCCTGGGGACTTTCCATTGACTCCTGTTGCCTTTATATTGAGCTAATGATGGTTTCTATACATACCCTTAAACATAAGCTTCACATACACATTTTTATGATTAAGATAGTTAGTATGTTTATTAAGTCTTTTCATTCTAGGGACACTGGTTGGTTCCCACGATATAGGGAAAAAAACAAGACCCACACACACAATTTGTTTTAACTGAATTTAAACTATTTGAAAAGAGTGCAGTTCTTAGCTATAGATTTTAATGGTGATTTCCACCCAACGATATGTGTACACAGTTCACCCAAAAAATGTAATCTTTTTCATCACATGCTTAACATGTGTCGTTCTAAACCTCTATGACTTTCTTTCTTTTCTGGTGCACAAACATTTTGAAATATATCATTTTATTATTTTATAAAATGACAAATTTACCAAACAACATTTGGCTATATAGTTTGGAACATTTATTCAAAATAACTTTGTTCTGAAAAGAAAGTCATCAGGGTAAGTAAAATATTTAGATAATTAATTACCTAATTTTTGAGTGAACTGCTTATATATTAGGTATATATTAAGTACATATTACATATATATGTATTTGAAATACATTTACTTTGTGCCAAGTATACTACAAATACATTTACATACAGTATTCTGGTCATATCCGTAAATAGAGAACAGTTGCTTCGGCTACTTTGACGCATGTGGGAGTGGCTTGAAAGGTTGACACCTGTTTTAAAACAAACGCAGAACAGAGAAGAGTCTGCTGGAAAAAAGATAATGTGACAAAGCTTGTAATAAAACGGGAATCAAGATTGGCTTGGCTATTAGGAGACGGCGAGAACTGAGGAATTTGAAATGTTCTAAAAGCATTGGGGAGATGTCATTTTATTACTTAACAGGTGAGTAAGGTATTTTATTGAACAGATAAATTGGCATATGTAGCTCTCTGACAGAGTTCATTGTAAAAATATTATCTATTGTGTGATTTGTGTCTTTCGTTTTGATTGTAGAGCTGTGCTGGAATTTATTTTCAAGGAAGTACCGTCTATTAATGGGTATAACTATACAGTAATGTCTTCAGCTACTTGGCTTAAGATCCTTTCCATCTAAACTGGTTATATCTCTTAAGCCTTGTAGTGAATGTTTTATGATCATCAGTAGGATAACCATATTCATCAGCACAGTCATGCAGAGCTGAAACACAACCAAAACAATGTTCTTCTTCAAAATGCATGCAGTTTTGTTTTTTAACTGCTAGATGGCCAAAAGTTTCATAGTGTATCTATAAAAAAAGTTTTATTAACCTCATTATTTTTCTATTTTCTTTAAAAGGAATTTCTGTGGATGACACATGCAGTAGAATATACAGTATGTGCTACTTAGTGAGTGATTTTTCACACTGGACAAAAAGACAAAGGTACAAGACTGTGTACTTATTGGCTTTAATGAGGGAAAGAACTACAATCCCATGAAGCTTTGCGATTGACAATCAAAATAAAAACTATTGATTTAAAGATGTTTATGTAGAGAAACAATACATTTTAGGTTCATTGCAAAATACATACAATTATTCAAGTAGTTTGATAGTGCAGGAAGACTGACTTGATTATGTCATTCGCAGTGCTTCATTGGAGTGGGCGGCGCTAAAGAGTTCTTTTGGAGCAATTTGCTTGTTTCGATTATCTGATTTGTGGAGATTTCTTTGTAGAAGCGTGTCGTTTTTCTCCTGGAATTCTGCTGTTGAACATGATTATTAAAAAAAAAAAAGTAGCTTCAACAAAAGCATATACCATCGATTAGCAGGTTTCAGGAGTTTTTGCTTTATTAAACCTGCAGGAAAATTAATAATTAAGTGTGATTATCCTCAGGATTTTTCTAGCTCCTTTTAAAGCCATTTGTTTGGATGAGAATGTACACAGGACTGTATGTGCTACTTAGTGAGTCATTTTTCACCCAACCTATTGATTTGTTTTATTGATTATATTAAAGGTAATGCTAAATTATATCCATGCGAGTTAAAGGAACACGTTTTTTAGTTTTGTGTAGATGAAGTCGTCCTTGAGGCTGTACTGTTGGGGTTATGGAGGTACGTTGTGCATACAAAACGAGTCATGTACCATGCGAACAAAGGGATCCCAATTACATTATTACAACCTCTGTGCAAACAATTGCTTCGCCTACTTCAGTGAGTGTTATGATTATATTAACATTTTAAAGAGAATGGTCTATGTCCTTGTCTTGCCGTTTTCTGCTTATCCAGACTCGAAGAGAACCTTTGTATGACAGCTTGTCATAGTGGAGTGGTGGTTGTGCACTGGTTTTAGGCTACCTGTGTTGAACAACACAAAAGGATGTTTGTGTATTGGAGCACTACTCTGCTTTCAAACCGTTTTTGTCAGTGAAATATGTGAAAAGCACTAGCTGTGTTATTCAGAAGAGAGACTGATATACTCGGTCTGTGCATAGGATGTTGTGGCCATTGATTTCCTTTGGCTGCAAACGCTCTGAAGACGCACAGGCATACGTAACGTATCTCTAATGAAATGGTAGGGAGGAGAGGCATTAATCCCAGCCACCTTTTCATCACCTCATGCTCGCTGGATCAATGAGGCTGTAGGGTCTAAAACAATCCCTGAGTCAGGCGGACATGTATTGCTCAAGTCCTGAGTGCGTTTCGAAGCTACTGTTGAACACGGAGGAATCTGTTCTACTGTAGGTATGCCATGGTGATAATAGATTTTATGTCGGGAAACAACTCCTATATCAACCGGCTTAGAAATAAACTGTGTACCAATTCAGAGGCTGCATCCTTCGAAGGACTTGGCCTTCAAAGGCTACTATGGTTGGGCCTAGCGTTGTAAAATGGGACGCACTAGCCTATAAAGGATTGTTCTTGTCGCCTAGCAACTGTGACAGCTGCTGTTGACGAGTGGCAGTAACATTTGTTTTAGACTTTTTTGAAAGTTATATTCAACTGTCTGAAAACAAAACAGGATTCACCTAATAGGTCTAAATATGTTCACCATGGTCCATTTATGTACATAATAAAGAGTATTAACTGTAATCGCATTTTAGTAAGATGTCAACATTTGAACTGCTTTAAAGGTTTTTTTTTTTTTATAATTACATTTATATTATTAGATAGCTATAGAATAGCCTTAAAGTCTGTGAACCGGGAGTTGCAACCGACTCTACAGTATACTTCAGTATTGTCTGACGGTTGGAGTGTAGTGGTTAAGTATCTTCTTTCCAAGATGTCAAAGCTTTTTTTTCTCCTTTGGATTAACTTGCACATATTAATTGTTTACCACAAGACTAGTAATGTTTGCTAACAAAGTAAATTTATATTTTCATGCGGACTAAAGAGTTTGTGACCCATGATAAATTACCTTAATTAATGCATTGAAAGTTAGATGTTCTTTAACACCTCCATCGTTTGTATCACGTTGGTTCAACAAAATAGGACCATTGTTAATGACGTCACGTGCAGAAATTAACAAAAAATATTTTTTGTTTGCAATTCACGTCAGATTATTCTAGTTCATTCAAAAGAAACAACTGAAAACCATAATTTTTTATAACGTTTACATGCAGTCAATGTGTAATTGGCGTATTCCTGTATAGCCACTACTTGTTACGTTGTGGTATTGGCTTTGCACTGACAGCAGAATCCGGCATGTGGTTTTTACCTTGCATTAGCACGGCTTGAATTTACTGAAATCATGGGGACTGAAGGTAATTTGCCTTAATTGGTTGCTGTAAATAAGATTAAAATCAAGGCTCTTCCTACTATACTGTTTGAACTGAAGTAAGGGAAATGTATTCAGTGTTCTTTGCCATTTGGTATAGGACATGGCTTTCCCAGGTTTAACAAAGGTATTGTGTCTTTGACAGGTTTGACCTTTGGTACCACCAGATTAATTTA